GAGCGCGCATCGGGGCGCCTCAGATTAAGAGGTAAGATGTGCGCTACTTTTTTGTGTTTCTTAATTTGCGTTTTCTTTTTTGTTCCCCCCCCCCTCGTGAAATGCACCCTCCTTTTGCGTGGGTTTGGGAAATTAAACGAGTCGCTGTTAAAATTGTACAATTGAAAAAACGGCGGCCGAAATGTTTGGCCGGCGGTTTGTCGATGTTGTTATTGCTCAGTGATGGTTGTTTCAAATCGATTGTCGCACGGCGTTGATCTCGTGCGCGTTTAATTGCGATTGCCGGTTCAAATGTGGCGGTGGTTGTTTTCGTTCGAGTAAATGTGTGTCGTTTTTGTGCTTTTTGTATTTTTTTTTGGTATTACAATATTACCACTGTTTTCTAGATGTAATAATTGGCGCGCTTGCACACGCACGCACGCGTTCACATGAGTGTATATAAATATATATTCATCATCATACGTTGTGTGCAATTAATTTAACAGATGAACCCGTGATTTCTGTGCCCAGAGCACACACAATAGCATGGCCATATTTTATGCAAACCTGCATTTTAAACCAAAAATTACATTTGATCAACAAAGAACACGGCGATTGTACAATTATCAACATTCGTTTAATTTTAATCTCCTTCTTCCGGGGATATAATAGATGCCAACAGCTGAAGACCTGAGGTGTGAAATGTAAGCGCTTGTGAAAGGTGGTGGTGGCATAGGTGAAAGAATTGCCCAATATACACAAAATGTACGCTTATATTTTTCACCTGTGGTCATTAAACATTCCCTCGAATTAAAGCACAGAGATAAGCAGGTCGCAGGATCCACACTCTCAATTAATTAATTCCTATGGGCATTAAATCCCATTATGAGTTAAAAACTATACACATCCTGGGATAGCGTTTGAATGTATATATTATTTTTTTAAATTTACAAACATATTCAGTTCATGCTGCTGCTGCAGTCAAAAAATTAATAATGTTGCGAACAACGTGACAGAAATGCGCACCAACGGGACAAAAATTACCAGATCACGTCGAACGACGCGAACGTGATTCCATCAATGTCCGTTTGTCAATACGTGTTCTTGTTATTTTTCTTAATGTCATCTGACGGACGTTGCTACGGGATTTTGTGGCGATTGGTGATTTCGCTAAAACCCTGCGAGCCGCGTGGCCGACAGGAGGGTCGCGCGCGCGCGGAAACCCACCGGGACGCAACGGCAGGAAGCTCACGCAGGTCACGATCGCGTCCCCGGCAAGGTTCCCCGGCAAGGTTCCCGCGTGCGATTCCGCGGTCGCCCGCCCGCCCGCCCCCCCCCCCCGCCACCCCTCCACCCGTCCAACGGCGGCCTCGACGGCGCGACGGAGCGACGGACGCCCGTCGGACGATCCCGCATGCTAACCGGCGGGCGGCGAACGCGTGATAAAGTTTGACCTTCATTTGTGGCTTTAAATTAAGGTAGATAAGCTGAGGGAGGCAATCAGGGTGCGAGGAGCTTATTGACTGCAGAATGAGAATGGCCGAGGTTATGAGATCGTTCTTTGCCCGGAGGCAATGATATAAGAAATTAATGCACGGCGGAGGGTCACCGTGCTTGGATATTGCGCGCGGCACACCGCGGAAGACGCCGCACGCCACCGGGGCTCTTTCCCCCCGCAGAGCGCTTTCGCTGGGGGAGTCGGGCGGCGACAGATACGCGCGAGCGTTCTCGAGCGGCGGATTTCACTCCGCTTTTAATTACAAACGTGTGGTCGCCTGCAGAGCACTTTTTTTGGGTGCCGCGATTTCCTCCGCTCCGCGCAGCGCAGGTTTAACTCTCGGCCGCTGTTTCAACACGAATAGCTTCGCTTCCCGACGGCTCTCGTCGCCGATGCCCAGGACGTTGAATCGCTAAGAGAGCGCTCATTGAGCGCGCACGTTGAGGTCGTGGTGTTTGCTTAAAAATGTACGCCACTCTGGGTGCCTTCTCGTCATGGCAGTGCCGAGTTGTTGTTACGTGCTAAGCCACGCACTCTGGGCACGTGTGCGCGTGCGTGTGTGCGTGTTAAATTAATATCCAAAATGTTGTTGCCACTGGCTGTTGTGATATTTGTTTTGCACAATTGTTAAATTCACAATTGTGATCGTTGTCAGGAATGTAGATTATGCATCTGGAATTACACATTTTTTATTGACGACGTATTTTTGTTACTTTATGTTTTTATTCTGCCTGACAATATATTTTTCCCTGTTATATACTACTTTTTTGCATTTCATTGTACTGTTTAAACTTAAAATCATGGGGTCGTGAGTTCAAATCCTGACCCCCATAATCATCACGATCACCATTTTTATTATCGTTCCTTAATTGCCACAATCTTCCCATTATCATCACCATAATCAAATTCTCATCATCACATGATTAATTATACAATGCAATGTCGATTCGTATATCATCTGAAACAACCACATCTCAAGTCGTTGCACAGAACAGTGGGCGTGTTTATTTCACAAAGAGAAGGAGGCAGTCAGTCACCGAGAGAGGGAGAGAGAACAGGAGGAGGGATCGCGAGCGTGGATTTGAGCATGAGTACAGAATCGACGGCACTCATCATCATGATCGTGATCACATTATCGCCGTCATCGTCATCACAGCAGTTGAGTTCACATTCTGGTTCAGAGTCAACTTAACCCATCACCCCTCCGAGGTCAATGCAATCAGTACCACTTTGCGGGAAATCAAGAGTGGCTCGTATAGTAATGTAGAATTTCCATCTGTGCCTCATGGCCAACAAAGCAGATGACTTCCACCCAATGCTAATGTTAGCATCCTGGTTGTATCTGACACGAGTAAAAGAACGTCCTTAACGGTTTTTTTTTATAACCATCGAACAGAGACGGTCACTGCATCGTGTGCTTTCAGATGTGCTTCTGCGGCCGTCTGGAACGTTCCGTTATTAGAAAGCCACTGCAGCTACGCACTTTTAAATCTATATTAAAAAAATATTCCTTTTACAACTGTTTCGTTCGTTGTCCTTCCCCCAGTTGGCTAACTACGGTGCAAAAGAAGTTTAACATACACACGTGCATACGACGTAAACGAACGACTCTACGTGACGTGCTAAAATGAAATCGATGGGCAAACGCCACCGCGTGTGGCCACGTGGGACGCGCCGAGAGAGTCGCGGGAGCGTCGCATGAGCCTGGACCAGGCGACCGAGCGCCGTTCACTCTCAAGTGCACGCGGTGCACTACATTGAGGGATGCGCGAGGCATCCGTGCACCGCTTTGTGATCTCAGTGACCCGCCTTAGATGCCTGGCCGTACGCAGCAGATGTAGCACGCGGTATCAGAACCCGTTCTAGGTCGACTCGGCCTCAAATGGGTACCTGTTGTGGTGCGTTAACCATCAGCGCTACAGAGACAGCGGTGACTGAGTGTAGTCCCGGCCTGACTGTCCCCACTTGTGCCATGCTAGTCCTAGTAATGATAGGTGCTCACTCACCGCACTATGTGTGTGTGTATGTGTGTGCGTGTGCCCGTATGTGTGTGGGGAGCGGTAGTGGAACGGTTAGCGCTATGCGCTACGAACCCGGCCACTCGAGTTCGATTCCCGCTGACGGTCAACACCGGTGACGATTATCTGAATCAGTCCCGGGTCTCCCCTAGGTCGACCTTGCTTCAAATGAATACCCGGTGCAATGTGTAAAAATTGCCACTGGGGAGACAAAGGCGGGTAGGTGTGGTGCAGGCCACCCACCCTCTTGTGAGCTGTCCCGGCCTTATATGTGCTCGCTGACAACACTTGCCTCAACAGTCTGTCCACACTATACGGGGGGTCTTTGTCTTTGTGTGCCCGCATGTGTGCGTGGAAATAATTTCTCCGCAAAGTACAAAAGCTGTTTAATGAAATATTGCGTTCGGCTTACACAAGCGAGTGTGGATGCAGATTTACCACCAGTGTGGGCACAGACTTACGCAGGCATTATTACGGCATCCACCTGGTATGAATGCAGCTTTGCAGGAGCATGAACACGGCATTAGATAGGTCTTAGGCCAGCCCTTGTTATGGACTTAAGTATCAACATGGAATTAATTCAGGCCTACGTGAGCTCTCGTGGGCAAAGGTGTTTTTTTAGTAATTACACAGACGTGGTCTTATAAAAACCAGTTCCAGCAGACCATGTTTCAGGCTGTGCATTGGCATGTACAGTCCGTACATCGGTATGTTGGACTGCTTTCGCACCGTATGTCGATAGCCGTGCTGAATTTGAGGGCTCTCCGCTGTTCTGCGGATGTTTTTTTTGGGGGCGCCGTGGTTTCTTGCAGCAGGCAAAATGCTCAACGGGGAATTGGATAAACATTGGAAATGCAGGGAATGATTTCCCGGATGAATGAAATAAAAAACAGTTCAAATGACCCAGACCACTCCGATGGGTGCGGGGATCTGGATAGGTGATTGTCGGAAGTCAATTTTGCTTCGAGTATTTGAACTCTCAATCAATTCCAACGTAAGTCGAGTACTCTGCTACATTTCTAGCGGCTCGGATGCAGGTGGAAATGTTTAAGAGTACTAGACCAAGACGCTCACCACATCACGCACTTTCACATGCGCTTCTGTTTGTCTGGAATGCTCTTCCTTCTGATATTATTAAGCCACTGGAGCTATGCCACATTTAAATCTAGATCGAAAAACTATTTCTCTAGAACTGCTTTTTGTTTTTAGCTTGTTGTTCTTCCCCCCACACCTCTGATTAGCACGGCCGGCTACGTGCGGTACGAAAGAAGTTCAACATACATACGCGCATGCAATTCGCCCATCGAAACAGAATCGGAAGCTCAGGCGTGCATTTCCCGAGTCAAGTCCATTGCGCTAAGAAGCTCTATTGCAAGGGTGACTCAAAACCAAGACCACCACGAGTACCATGGCATGACACCTGCCTGAACCATGCACGCCATTCGCACGCGTGGTCCACCAACCCCACTGACGGGAACCCAAACCCGCTTGTGTCTCCTCCGCAGGTGCCCGTGTCAATGGCCATGATGACGCCGCAAGTGATCACCCCACAGCAGATGCAGCAGCTGCTCCAGCAGCAGGTGCTGTCTCCGCAGCAGCTGCAAGCGCTCCTCCAGCAGCAGCAGAATGTCATGATACAGCAGGTGAGTCGGCGGGACGCCCCACACGCACACACACGCACACGCACGCACGCGCCCCCCGTGCGTGACGAGGGCGGGTCAGGGGAAGGAGGGAGGCGACGGTTTGGGTGGCGCCGGTGGCCACCGCGTCGCGATGCATTCTCTACGAACGGACCACGGTCGTCGTGCTCACGTCCCCTTCGTAGAAGTGGGAGATTAAAGCCGCAACGCCGCAGTAGGGCCATTGTGGCCACGCAAAGCTGCCCTATGGGCCACATGGTAAACCACTGTGGTCTACGCTCCTTCGACGACGGAGGGACAGCAAAACTACACGAACTCCCACGCGTCACGGCCAGCACACCTCGACATTGGCATTCGGCTCCTGAACGTATTGCCGTATGAAAGAGTCGAATAATATTGGGTGTTGTCGCACCGTTACCAAATGCACTTCCAAACTGCACGGCTCTGGGATTCCATCCCATCTTTTAACCTTGCTCGGTTCGATAATTGTGTCCATTCCACCTCGTCGTTGATGGCTGTGGCATTTTGGGCCTACTTCTTTGGGCCTACTTCTTTGGGCCTGTGCTCAGGATCTGCGTTCTCGCTCACTTGGCAGCCCCGTGGTGAGAACGCTCGTCCGCTGGACTACAGTCAGTGCGCGACGAGGGGAAATTTCAATTCCTGGCACAGCCCCCACACGTTACCAAACGGTGCTGCCCGCTACGGTGTGGGAAGCGGCAGCAGCGACCCAGAATCGCAATCTGTATTTTTTCTGGAGGAGGAATCCGATGAGCTGTGAAGCTCTTTTTCACAGATGTCCAGTAGGGGCGGGTCAGAAAGTTACGAACCTGTGATGTCATCATTTAATAAATAAGGTTGCTGTGTTTCCAGTTTCCCTGGGCCAAATAAAACATTTTAAATGTTTATAGAGCTACTCTAGTCATCTGTTTGTGCAGGTTTTTCACATGTGCAAGCTTTTGCGCTTTCTACTCCTGCAGAAAAAAAAATGTTGACAAAAAATTTGTTTTCATTTGAATAAAAGAACGACCATCGGAAGACGTTGTACAGTGGAAGTGGTTTGTTGACTTTTGACATTTAATAAATAAAAAGTGAAAATCCAAGTGGTTAACTAACTCGAGAGATAACAACAATGACGGCCGTGCACTTAGTTTAACAATTTTTGGGTATGTGAGCCGATTCAATTTCAGACTTTAAAAAGTTCTCATTTGATATCGAATTTGTCCTGTTGTACCCTACAAACATTGTCTCGATTATGAAAGAGAAACAGAGCTATGGGGTGGGCAGGAGATGGATTTTGGGAAGCCATCTGTGTGGTGCTCTCGGTGATGTTTCCTCATCCTCAATGCCTTGGATACCTTCGAAATGAAAATCACTCGTGAGGTTGTAAATGCAGGAATCTCCTGAAAATACTCGACACTCATTGAATTTATCCTCGGGTCAATAAACGTCATTATCATTAATAAAAGCGTCAGTGGCTGCGACATCGCAATTGAAATCTCACTCTCACTTGCAACGGGACTGATGAATCCAGTTGTCACGCTCTCACCTGGTTTAACAAGGTGCGATGCGCAAACGAACGAATGGGCAAACGTGCATACGCTCCCATCGGTCTCTCTCTCGGGGGCAGAGCTGCTTTGCTATCCGGCATCATGCGTGGCGTTGGCCTGGGACGCGCGTTAAGGATCGGACAGGCGTCGTGTAACAGTCCATCACTTTTGTGTATCCTGCTTTACGGTGCGTGCCACCATCGCTCATTGCGAGCCGGCGTAAATAACGCACGCGGCAGCGGCGGCGGTGGCACGAAGGCAGCGGCGACGACTGCCACATAAATCGCGCAAAATATTCCCCAAAACATTCAATTACCTGCTGGCGGATCGAGACAAAATGCTCGCCAGGTGCCCGGGGGGAATCTGCCGGTTGTCTCCGCCTGCTCTGCCGTAATCTGACACGAGACAACACACGCGGGCGCTCGCCGGCACGCACTAGCCGGCACGTGCTCGCCGGCACGTGCTCGCCGGCACGTGCTCGACGGCACGTGCTAGTCGGCACGCGCTCGCCGGCACGTCCTCGCCGGCACGCGCTAGCCGCACACGCATAGGCGTAACGTCGGTCATCTTAAGGGGGAGACTGTTCAGCATTTCGGCAAACATTTTACCATGGCGGTTATCAGTGGAAAGGTTTCATTCAATCGGAGAGTTTATACGGTAATAGATAAAAAAAAATTGCCTTAAATATGAAAATTACCGACCCTTCTTAGGGGGTGGGTGTTTGAGCAGAGGATAAATAAAATGTAGGTATTTTATTTTCGTTACTGGATTTTCTTTATTTCTGGATTCAAAGTTTTTAATTGGATCCCTGTGGGCAAGTGACCACGAATGTTGACTGAAGAAAGCCGGCTTGGAAATGAGGTGTTCACAGGAACAAACTAAATTTGCTGGAACAGAGGTCAAATGTTGCCTTTGAGACGTGTGACACACGTTTTTATTAAGCCTCCGGCCTTGTAACCGTGGCAACAAACATCCCTCCCACACGCTCAAGTTCCGATTGACAACTACGGCAATGTACACACTTGCAGCGCATTCGATATTGTAGAAACGATAAGTGGCGGCGGTTATTGCCTCCCGAATGATTTCCCTGTAAACGCTGCGTGTGGAGCGAGGGCGCCACGGCAGTCCACGCACGGCGACCTGAGCGTTCGACTGTCAGCCACGGCTCTTGGCTGAACTGCCTGTGGGACGCCCCACCCACCAGCGTGGTGACACATCCCCCGTGACCGGCACAACATTGGAGAGGCCCTTATCCAGCAGTGGATTGACACAATGGCTGTACGTCGTCATCATCATCATCATAATCATCAAACTATTCACAGAGCTTTTGTGAATAGCGAATGAGCCCCAGTTACTTACAATGCGATTTTATGTGTTCATTTATTACATAAGCGAAAGTGCTCTATAAAATTTAAGTTGATTAATCTTCACATAAATTTACGTTATTCTTAGAAACTGCCAAATAATGAAATAGTAGTCAATGCATTGATGTTGTCACACAATTAATTGTCTCTTTGTTAAATTTACGTCGTATATTAATTGCAGAATATTGACTTTACCTATACAGCCAGCTTGATAATCTGGGGTAAACGGGGGAGGATGGTGACTAAGATATAAAAAAAAAACCGCACGCATAGAGCAGAACTTATGAATGGGTTTTAAAACTTGAATATCTTTGCTCGGCTATGCAAATCGTGGGTGAAGACGTGTAATGCGTGTCTCGAGTATATGTGTGTACGTCGAACTTCTTCTGCACCGTACGTAGCCACCGTGCTAATCGGAGGCGTGGGACTATGTGTGCAATGTGGTTGTGAACAATCGGTTTGACTTGCCAACGTGTTTACGGTCCGCGTGGCTGCTGGGTGGTCACTGGACGTCCACGAACGAGGAGCGCCAAACAATTTAACAAGCGCTTGCGTGAATGGCGAGAATTGTCACGGTCGATTCGCAACCCTAATAATCCATCCCACGAATAATCAAGAGCTAATCGTGTGCGTGTAATACTAGCTTCTACGGCTAATGAAGAGTTAACTGTGAGAATGTAAAACTAGCTTCTACGGCTAATGAAGAGTTAACTGTGAGAATGTAAAATGGGATTCTTTCCTCCAGGTTGGGCGAATGGCGGGGGTAGTCCCTTCCACTGTCTTTTAAGTTTCCTATTTGACATCAGACCAAAATCTATCGATTCGACGTTTAGGCAACATCAAGGAGATGTGAAAACCACTCCAGCAGGGATGGACTTTTTAAAATTAACTTTTATTTATGTTCGCATAGAAGTAAGAGCACACAATGGCTGAGACACTGGTCATTATTTCACTAAACTTTTCCCACCCATTGTTGTAATGGTTTGCAGTGCGCTGATGACCAGGTCTACATGCTGTGGTGACCTTTTCATCCTTAATTCAACATCGTTGGTAACCTAAATTCCGTGACTTGGTGGTCCATTCAATAGCATGCTGAAATATTCAATGCAAGTTGACCTATTCGTTGTCTTTGTCATCAATTCATTGCCTTGGTGGCATAGGTGATCTGCTCAATATCCAGGTGACTTGTTTATTGATTGGGTTGTGAAAGCAATTTCCTTGGGCAAGTCATCATATTCATAGGTGGCACTAAGCCTCTGATGAACATTCGATATTCTAACGGCATGGACGTTAGCTCATCAACAGGACCAATCACTGTTGATATCCTACAAAGAGGTACTCAATTTATTGACCCTGAGAGATGATGACCCAAGTCAATCGTAGACTAAAAACAGATTCCACCACCTTCTGATTTGTGAGTTGAGTACTCTGCTACAGTAGAAAGGTAATTTTTTTGTGTACTAATTTATAATAACGTGGCTTTTGGCGGCGAGGAGAGTGCTAGCTTGCAACCTTGGCCAGGAGGGATGCCTAGGAAGGGGGCTCGCTTGGGGGCTTTGCCAAGAGGGGGCCCTTAATAAGGGGGCTCGCTGATGTGGATTTCACTCAGCTTTACACGCAGAAAGAAACAAAACAATGCCATGCAGCCTCAATTGTAAATTTGTTGCTGCGATCGCCAACAAATCAGATTAGGGGGCGTCTTCCCATTGCCCTCGTGGTGCGTGGCAGTGCGAGCATGCGCCAAGACACTGGCACCTACCTGCTGAAGGTGTGCAATGATTGGGCCTTTGCAGCCTGGTGTGACCACGTGACACAGGCGGTCACTGCATCGCCTGCTTTCAGATGCTCCTCTGCGGCTGTCTGGAACGCTCTTCCTTCTGATGTTAGGAAGCCACTGACACTGTGCACTTTTAAATCTAGATTGAAAACTTATTTAATTGGAACGGCTTTTTGTGTTTAGTTTTGTTTCCTTAACCCGCACCTCTGATTCGCATGGTTGGCTATGTACGGTGTGAAAGAAGTTCTATATGCATACATTCATGATAACGTTTTTGGGGTTATATCGTGTAAATGTAACTGTCTCGTACACCGA